TCGTATTATTGATGATGATACTTTACAAGTCGACACGCGATATTAAACATAATAGATTGAATCTTAAACTTCTAATGCAATTCCTAAAATGAACGGCTTAAAATAAGATTTATAGGACGGATTTATGAACGGCTGCGTGATCTTCACCTTGTGAACGTGCAAAACGAGAAACGGCAATGATTGGGGAGGAGGGGGGGGGGGAGGGTAATGTACATAGCATTTATCGTGAACACAGTGGCAACCTAAGAATGCTTGTATGATGCTGCTGAAAGTGTGCCACGATGGTTAAGGTCGTCTCGACGGCAAGCATGCCGATCGCTCGTTAGCCCACTTCCCGACGGCACACCGGTACTGGTTTGTTGAACCCGACAGGTACCGTTACTCCAAAAGGCGGTCACGACCTACTGCCGATCGCAACGGCGACCGGTTCTTGTGTTCACCAAAAAAAAAAAAAAAAAAAAGAGAGAGAGAGAGAGAGAGAAGAAATAAGGAAGGAAATAACAAAAAGGAAAGACAGTTGACATGATGCCGATCGACGAGATCGAGGTGATAAGAGACGATGGATCGACGATGTCTGTCTTCTCGCGTAACTTTCTTTAAGTAGTTTTCTGTATAAATAACGACGCGACTGTAAATTGTTATTCTATTCTAAAATTTTATCTATTATAAAATTTTATTGTATATTAAAAATTGTTCCCGTGTTAAAAACTCTTCCATATTAATGTCATTATTGGATGTTGCATGTACATGTATGTTCTCATGTGTATTATCTTGTTGTTTTCATGTAATTTATGGAATAATGTAACAAGATATTTATATTATTCCATAAATAATGATTATAATAGATTATAATATATATATATATGATAATAACAGCATTTCCTAAGAGCTTATTATAATCCTTATTTCAATATTGTCATCAAGCGTCAAAGAACATTCGAAAAAGAATTGCGCGCCTAACAATTCTCAATCTTTGTTATATTTAAGTTTTTTTTTTATTTAGAATTTTGAAAAAAATTTCAATCAAACATTTTGTGTCATAAGATTGATATTATTCGTCAAGAAAAGTACCTAAAGTATTACTAATACTTGCACAGAGACTCTCGTAAATTTATAAATAAATCCGAATACTAAAATTTTATTTGTAAACGAAATCACGCGTAGCTAGGAATTAAATAATATTAACATTTACACAATCACGATCTTCGTTATCATAATATAATGAGGTGACGTTCGTGAAAGCAACGAGAGAGATGCTCTCACTGACGATGAGAAACGATGCGCGGCGCGCCTTTGGAAAACGGTACACATCGCGACGAAAAAATTGCAAGACGAGTTTCTAACTGTATCCTTACACCTGACGACAAACATATTCTACTACCTAGATGTGCACGATTGACCCGACAAAAAGACTTACAAAAATTAATATCTTTTATGAGGCCATGTCGTTTATGAGGCCATTGCGTATATAATTTCGCGTGACGAAAATTAAGTGAAAAAATTACTTCTAAAGCAAAAACCTGATAAATAAAAAGATATTCTTTCATTATTTAAATTCTAAATCGTAAAAAGCGCTTGCAAAAATTATTACAAGATTAATCACCTTTCAGTAAAAGAGAAAAAGAGAAAGAGAGAGCGAGAGAGTGAAATAACTTTTGTAGAAATATTATATGTCTACTTTTCCATAAGTCATAAAATTTACTTGATAAATAATAAGTAAGAAAGTGAGCAAGTGAATAATAAATAATCAAATTGTATTTAATAATAATAATAAATAAAATAAAGGCGACAATAATTTTATAAAATAGAATTGATTCAAATATAATCTTTTTCTTTGGAAAAATAACTAAGAGGTCAATTCATAGTCAATTTTTACATTTAAGATAATTTTAAAATTACATTTCAAACAATAAGATGATCATACAATCTTGCTCAAGACAATCTTAAATATAAAAAAGGGACTATAAGTACTTAAGATTAATTTTAAAAAGAAGCAAAGATTATATTATAATTAAAGATTATATTATAATAAAAATATTTAGGAAAATATTGCGATAAACATACAAAATTATGATAATAATAATGTTCTACGAGTAACAAAAACTAAAATTAATGGCTTTTTATATATTAAAATTACACATATTTTTTAATACTAAAACATTAAATTAAAATACACACACGTGCTTATTGTTTGCTATAATAAATTTTTACAATTAACGATAAATGAGCACAAATTTTGCTCCAATATCCAAAAATTTCAAAGAGGATCTTACAACGGTCATACAATTACAAGTATCTTTAGTATAATTTTATGGAATCAACAGCGCAATAAAGTAGACTCGAATATATGGGTGATCAATGTTCCCTATCTGGTCAATCCAAGGTCAAGTGCAATGAAAAACTGTGTTACTCACTTAGTTATTTCCCCGTGGATTTCCGTGACACTGACTCTCAGATTCTGAAGATGAAATTCCTCGCGGGGTCTTCTATATAGCTTGCGAGCATATACGTGGGGGTAAACCGTTCGGCCAATGATCACTCATCTTTGCTACCATTTTCAATGGAACTATCCAATCACGCCGGGCCGATTGGTGAGAATTCCAAAAGGTCTATACTCGGACGAAGAACATTCTTTATAGTTACTTTGTAGCAAAGAAGAAACGAGTTCATGACTTTATGATACATAGAGTTCGTATATCCCTCTCTCTCTCTCTCTCT